ACAAATTAAAACTTTTAATTTTAATTAAAGATAAGAAAAATATGTGGAACAAATTTAAAACAACCAAAAAACATGATGATTTTGTTAACCATCGACGTTTCGCTAACGATTTAATCAGTGTTATTGATAACGCAAGAACAGAATACGAAGAATATGTCGCTAGTAGCGATAAACCTAAGAAGCTATTTAGGCACGTAAGATGCTTTCTCACCTGCAATTGACAATTTATACGCAATGCTTTTAAAAGAATGCGCATCTTATTTGGATTTACCTCTATCCATTATTATGACATCTTCCTTTACATCTCACACACTTCAATGTGGAAAATTGCTTAGGTGACACCTAATTTTAAAAAGGGTGACAAACTCAGTCCATCCAACTATCGTCCAATAAGCCTCGTCTCAATTGCCTGTAAAATAATGGAATCCAACTTAACCAATTATATGTCTGATTTTCTCAAGAGCCATGACGTTTTGCCAAAAGAACAACACGGTTTTATCAAAGGCCGATCTACATTAACAAACTTAATGACCTGTTTAAACGATTGGACTACGTCTGTGGACAATAAAGAGCCTGTCGATATCGTATATTTTGATTTCGCTAAAGCCTTTGACCGTGTTCCCAAAAAGAGATTGCTTTACAAGTTGGAAAGGTGGATAAGTAATTTTTTGTAAAATCGCATCTTCAAGGTAAAAGTTTGACAAATGTTCTCGTTAGAGTATCCAGTTCTAAGTGGTGTCCCTCAAGGCCCTTTCATAGGGCCATTACTATTCTTGGTATATGCAGCAGATCTAGGCAAAGACTTAAATTCTAATATTTCGTGTTACGCTGATGACACTAAGCTATACTCCAATCCTGTGCAGGGCCGACTAGAGGGGGGGCAGCCGGGACTAATTCCCGGGGCCCGGATTTAAAAGGGACCCAGCAGCGGTGGTGTTTGTTACTTTCAGAAGTTCGACACATTTACAGGTAGGTAATTGATACAAAACATGGCCGAATCTAAGAAGAAGTGTCGTCAGTACAGTGTTGAATATTTAAAATTTGGTTTTCTTCCATCAAAGGCAGACAAACGATTGCCCACATGCCTTTTATGCAACAAAGTTTTGAGCAATGACTCTATGAAACCATCAAAGCTGGAAGATCATCTAAGAAGGTGTCATCCTGATAAAATAGGTAAAGATTTGAAATATTTCCAAACATTAAAGGAAAAATATGAAAAGATACCCACCGTGCACAGTATGTTCTCTTCAACATCTGAAAGCAACGATGATGGCTTGCGGGCATCTTACAATATCTCATTACTTATCGCAAAATCTGGAAAACCGCACACCATTGGAGAACAGTTAATTTTACCTGCTGTTGAAGAGGTTTTAAAAACTGTTCTGCACAAATCTTCATTTGACATACTCAAAAGAATTCCTTTGAGTAACAACACTGTACAAAGACGTATTGATAAAATGAGCATCAATCGCTTCAATTTGTGATTAATGCAGTTTACAAAATAAGAAGCAATGCATTGAATACGCGTTTATTTGCACAATTGTGCGATGAAAATGATGAAGACTTCCAACGATTGCAGTTATACTTATACCGAAGTACGCTGGTTGTCGAAAGGTGCATGTTTATTAAGATTTTATTTACTTGTTGACTCAGTTTTAGAGTTTTTGGAAAGTAAAGATCCTGATTTAAATAAAAACTTGATCAATTTTAAAGCAAACATCGCGTATTTGACTGATTTGTTCAAAAAATTTAATGACCTAAACTTACAATTACAAAGGGACAGCCTCAATTTAATAAAAACAAAGAGTAATTCCAGTTTTTCTTGGTAAATTGAAATTTATGAAGGAAAATATTGGTCGGCGCGAATTTTCACAGTTTTCAAACTTGTCGCAGGTAGAATGCCTTGATGAAGATTTACCATACGTTCAACATTTGATTGCCCTGCATGATGATTTTAAATTCAGATTTGAAGATATTCTGTCGATGGAAATACCACCATGATCATATATCTATTTGATGAAACGGAAGTGGAGAATGTGATATTACAAGAGGAGCTACTCGAGCTTAGCACTAATGAGGAGCTGAAAGTGACATTTAAAAGAGGGTATCAAAAATTTTGGCTGCAGGTAGAATTACCCGAAAAATTTACTGGACTTTGGGAAATTGTGCAAAAGCTTCTGATAGCGTTTCCCTCGTCATATCTCGTTGAAAAAAGTTTTAGTGTCGTTACAAACTTCTTAACAAAAAAAAAGGCGCAGATTGAATATCACAGTTATTCCTTACATAACTCAAGCCAAATATTGATAATTTGCTGTCAATCCATCAAGTACATCCCTCTCATTAAAATTATATTTTTTTTGAAATTACCATTGTTAAAATTACATTACGTTATAAGCGTTTAATTTTAATTATATTACGACGGTTATAACAATAATAATTAATAGTCTAATAATTTATATATTTAAATTTAAATAAATACCTACAACACAAGGAAATATACTTTATTTCTTTTTACCATTCCGAATGGGACGTTTTCTAAATAAAATTTGTGAGGTTTGATTGGTTCTTGTGTTGTGAGTCACTGTAGATTTCAAAAAAGTAAAGTTGGATGGATTCACTTTTTCGTTTGGCCAACTTTGCTTTTTTGACATTCCACTCACAGCACAATCAATTAAAATGTAATGGTAACTTTGTTTTGTCGACTTTATTATCAAATAATTAACCCTATCAAACAATCAATTCTAACCTTTTTTTTTCGAAAACTGTTAATTCGTCGTTACAAAACCGCTATGATTTGGAATGAACCCATGAACCACCATGACGATTGTTATTTTTGTTTGGTGAACATAACTGGTATTAACCGAAAAAATCGAGCCAAATGGGAATATCCTACCATACAAGCCCTAAGTCTACACCTGAACCTCAATCTGGTACTTTACAAGAAGAGCCCGAAGATTTTGAGACGAAAAACGACAGTAATGATAGTGACTTCTTAGTGCGACCTCGGAACGCCAAAACCATTCAATCAAGATGATTGAAACGACTTAATTAGAGATCTGGGACTGTCAAAGTCAGCTTCAGAAATTTTGGCTTCAAGGCTAAAAGAAAAAAAATTGGTAGGTAACGAAACAAACTAAAATTTCTTATTACCGCACAAGAGAACAGAATTTCCTCAAATATTTTGCTAAAGAAGAGAATTTCGTATTTTGTAAAGATGTACCTGGATTGATGGCTGCAATGGGATTACAAAATTATATTTCTAGTGAGTGGCGTTTATTCATAGACTCGTCAAAACGGAGTCTAAAATGTGTTCTCTTACACAATGGGAATAAATTAGGGTCGTTGTCTATTGCATATTCTACAAAAGTAAAAGAAGAATATACAACTATTGCTCTGGTTTTGGACAAAATTAAATATATGGAAAATAACGATGTTGATTTAAAAATGGTCAACTTTATATTAGGCCAGCAAGGTGGTTACAAAAAGTATTTTTGTTTCTTTGCTTGTGGGAAAGTAGAGCTAAAAATCAACATTGGGTTAAAAAGGATTGGCCTACTCGGATAGATCTAGTTCCAGGACAACAAAACTTAATAAACCCACCTTTAGTGTCAAGAGATCGTATAATTTTGCCTCCGTTGCATATACTGGAAATTGTTTTCTATTTCTATCAAAAAAATTCCCGAAACTGAGTGTAAAAAAGATAAAAGCGGGCATTTTCGATGGGCCACAGATAAGATCATAAATAAAAGACACAAAATTTACGGACACTATGACAGAAATTGAGAAAAACGCAAGAAATGAGTTTGTTTGACTTGTTCAAAATTTTTGGGAAATATAAAAAGTTCTAACTATTCTCAGCACGTTAAACAACTAATGAGTCACTTTCAAACCCTTGGATATAACATGAGCATCAAGTTGCATTTTCTTCACAACCACCTAGATTATTTTCCCGCTAATCTTGGGGATCTAAGTGAAGAACAGGGCGAGCGATTCCACCAGGACCTTCGTACGATGGAGGAACCGTATCAAGGATACTGGAACGCACTCATGATGGCTGACTATTGTTGGAGCATTCAGAACAGTTCTATGGGTTCAACCTCTGCAAGAAAGTCTTATAAAAAAAAGTTTTTTTCACCTTAAGAACTAAATAAAATATGATTAACTTTAAACAAATTGTGTTTTACTATGAAACGGCCATGTGCTAATACAGAAATTTAGATTAAAAATTAAGCTAGTGTCATGTAATATAACTCAATCATCAGAAATGCTGTTGTGCATTGTAATTAATTAATGAGAAATGCCAAAAGCTAAAATAGATATAAGTGCAGTAACCATTAATCTTCCATAAACCATTTTAAAAAATGTACACAATATTCTCAACAATAATAAAATTACAGGAGATCAGATACATCCTCAATTATCTTTTTTTATAACTGTTTTTATTTTATTCCTATATCTACAGTCACATTATTTTTAATTACTTGGTATCCATCGTAAATTTTTCAATTCATTTAACAATTATGTAGTGAAAAAGTAAAAATATAATTAAATGATAATTTACTCCTACAAATGAGTGTGCATTGGAGTGTAAACGATAATAAACCACAAAGTATCATTTCTTAATAGCTGGAACCCTCTAATATCTCTACACTCGATAATAATATTCAATATTCTCGAACAACTGCATGCTTCAGTCTAAAGGAAGGGATCTGCATAATTACGACAGTGCGAAAAACAAGTAATAAAAACTACAGCCACTTAGTAACTGAGCAATAAATATCTGAGAATAGCACAAACAGAATTTAATGTTCAGCACCACCCCCTATTAGACATCAACCAATGGAAGGCCATAAAACGAATGCTAAGGGTGGTAACTCGTCTAACCGCATCCCTCGCAGGGATGTAGGGTTGCCAAGGCAACTCGCTATTCCGAATTTCAAATGGTGATTCCAGTTCCATATGACTGTTTCAAAACATACTTCAGATTTTCCTTCATAATCATGGAGAAATTAACACAATTCGTATCTAAGTCGTTCGAAAACAACAACAACCCCTCTCTGACCGATCACATAAGTTACGAAGTGAAAATATCTTCTATAAGTCCTTTAATAAAAACTGAAAAAGAGTTTATTACTAGTGACGATATTAAAAAACCGATAAACTGGCTAATTTCAGACATAGAAAAATCAGATAACATCAACATCGGTGTAGATCTTCGTCTAAATCCGTCGAGGAATTCGAAAAGTGTTTACGACTCCGACGATAAGTGCAATAAAAATTCTGACACCAACTGTGAAGTTGAAAAAACTACAAAGTGGTGCAAAAATAATGTGAACAATCTCGATAGCGATAATAAAGATTCTGATACGTGTTCGGATAAATGTGAAAAAATATACGACAAGAAAGACTGCAATAAGGACAATAATGTTTCTGAACAAAGTGAACACAAAATCTGTAAGTATCTGCCAAAATTAAAAAAACCAATCCACTCTAGGTAAAATCCCCATTGATATAGATCATTTAAAATGAATTTGTCAAATTTTAACAAGAAAACCTTAGGTCTAGATAGTTCTTAAAAGATGTAAATTAAAGGTTGCTCCTCTTTTCACATGTCCTTTCAACTTTTTTTGAAATATTTCCAGACAACCGCAAAACGGTTTGTGTTCTAGTACTAAAAATTATTTACTTCAATTACATATCTATAGGTAGCTATGATAGACAATGTGGTGTTTTTGTCAATATATAGATCAATAGCTGACGATCTTTTTGTCTCCTACATCTGGAGCAAGTCAATCTACTTCTACGCACAAATCTTGCTCTTGGTATTAGTAAAACTTTCGATCAGGTTTGGTATGTCGCTCTTTTAAACAAACATTTTTCATACCATAGATATGCCGAAAGTTTTGTATCAATATCTGTCGGTGTTGATGCCTATGTATCTCAAGGTCAGATTCAGCTCTAACACTATTTCTATTACATATCAATTATCTACTTATTACCACTTCCGACTCCATCCACAGCTCTATAGATGATGACACTCTGCAGCCACTTAACCAGAATGTTCTAGGAAGGTTGACATCCGAAAATTACTTCTTCTCTTATTGATCTTAAAACTATTACAAACTAAAAATATTGTCTATTGTAACACCTCTAAAGACATGACTTGGTGTAATATTTTGCTATATTAACGGCTTCTTACCAATTTAAATTCATTTTTCCCAACGCCTCTCTGTTCCAGTTTTTTATTTCATACCAAAGATTCTATAGATATACCGAAAGTTTTGTATCAGACCGTTCAATATCTGTCGGTGTTAATGCTTATATATCTCAGGGTCAGATTTACTTCCAATACTATTTCTATTACATATCAATTATCTACTTACAGCCATTTCCGACTCCATCAACAGCTCTATAGATGATGACACTCTGCAGCCATAATGCAGTCCACTTAACCACAATGTTCTAGGAAGGTTGACATTTTAAATTTACTTCTTCTCTTACTCATCTTGAAACTATTATTAACTAAAAAATATTGTCTATTGTAACACCTCTAAAGACATGGCTTGGTATAATATTTTGATAGATTAACGGCTTCTTGCCAATTCATATTCATTTTTCCCAACGCCTCTCTATTCCAGTTTTTAAGGGCTTTCATCTGGCTCAATTTCATAAGCCCCTGCTTTATACAGCGTTTACCAAAAGTTACCTTCCCCCTTTTTTCTTTTTGAACGTTGATACTTGGTCTGATGAAATTTGAAACTATTGTAAGCTTCTATTGGTGATAACAGGAGACGTAATAGTCATCGATGACGTCACAAGGCAATAGGACCTTATAGCAAGTGACACCTCGTTTGCCCAACAGCCAGACTATATAAAAGAATTTGTTTTAGTAACGGAAGTACTTTGTTCCTTAATAGAAATGCCAGGTATTGGAGTGACATAAATCCTCACATGTTTCTTGAAAAACATACACAGTTTCCCTCAAAAGTAAATGTCTGGGAAGGTATTTTGGTAAACCACAGAGTCGGACCTATTTTTTTTAAATGCTAACTTAACCGGTGAAGTGTATCTAAAGATGTCAGAAAACGCAATTGAACCGTTAATTCTTAAAATTCTGGAAGATAATCTAGATGAATTTGGTAACTTGGAATTAACGTTCCAACAAGATAGTGCTGCTGCACACTATTACTTCGAAGTAAGACGTTATCTAGATGATGAATACCCTGGTAGATGGTCCAAGGATGGTCCAGGACCTAACACCTTTAGATTTTTTCTGTGGGAATACCTTAAATCAAAGGTTTACGTTACAGATCCTGATAGTTTTGACTTTTTAAAACAACGAATTGTTAAAGAATGGACACATTTGAACGAGTCAGACAAGAGTTTAATAATAGGATGTTTTATTGCCAGGAAGTAGATGAAGCACATTTTAAACAATTATTATAAGATCTGGATCTTGAAACTTTATTAATTTAAATTGTAAATCTAAACATAATTAGTATGACTGAATCTGTATTATAAATACCTTTCAAACGAGATGTAACTTGCCATAAGGTTCCATTTAATATTATTGGTTCCAGTCGCCTTGTGACGTCATCAATGATTATTACGTCACCTTTTACCATTAACAGAGAAGTTTATTTTCACCCTCCAAATTTCATCGGTCCTTAGACGTACAAAAGAAAAGAGAGGGGATAAGACGTTTGAGAAGCACAGTATATTACATTTACTTTGATTCAATATTCAGTTCCTCTCTTATTTTATTGTTTCTGATTTTGACAATTCTTGTAACTGATTTAATTACACTCCAACATTTCATTTGCTTGTATTCTAACTTCTTAGCACTTGTAACTTATCATCTGTTTCAGATTATTCCTAGAAGCTGTAAAATTTGTATCCTCTTTTTACTTTTCCTATTAGACTTACTTTTTTTTGTTAGCAATGATCTAGTTACATGTTTCTATTTGTCAATTTATGTCCCAATTATTAAATTTCATCTATATGGTAACTATTTCTAAACAACAATAATGTTTTTCCACAGATATATAGGTTTATTTCTAAAATAAAATAGTAAAACTTGAAAAATAATATTTAGCCCAGTTTTATTATTTTTTAAATTGCAAAATAAAAATACGAGCAATAATAATAATAGATAAATATACCAAATATAAATACCAAATATAAAAATAAAAAAGCCCACCAGATTATTATGTGCTAGAAAGCAGTGGCACTACAAAAAAATAAAATATGTATAGCTGAACACAGGTAACAATTAAAACATTAGAACATTTATTTTAACACTCTTAGGCATCCCTCTGCTCCTCCTTGAGGGACTTAGAGAATTAGGCTTGAGTTTCAGCCAATATTCCCTACTCTGGGATTCGAATGGCGCAAGTGCAGCCTTACGGGGCTATTCTATCTCGATTTGGATACCCTACTCCTTTCTATTTATTCAATTGATGCAATCTACTCATCCTTCCACCGTCTAGATCGGCCCCGAACTCTACCAGATCGGTCACCCAACTAGACCGTTGCCGGTCCAGTCACGTCTGCGCTTATATTATAGAACGATTATATTGCTTTCAAACTATCTTTTATCACCCTTTTTTCTTAACTTAGATTTAAGGCCTTTTAATGTTATGTAGCATCGTTTCTTTGGTTTCTTTATAGTAACCTCTACAAGTAAAAATAACGTTAGTACCGAAATGGTCACTAATGGCAAACTAAAATAATTATACAAACTAGAATAACTTTAACAAATACAGTATCGGCTATCGAACATTTTCCAGTATGTTTGGAACAGGTGCGTGTGAAAACTACAGAAATAGTTAGCATTAGAGCGCGTAGGAAACGAATAATATCAGCGATGCCAGTTTATACGTTACAACACTGTATCATCATCTAATGTTAGACTGACAGTTAATCATTTTCCTGTATGATTTAGTGATAATAGTGAAGAGTAATTGCTGGACCCACACCACAACTGAACTGATCTAATTTTTGGATCCCATTTACCTTACATTTTTGGTCACATCTCTGCATACAAATATTTTTAAAACTATTAAGAAATTAATGATAAAAAAAATTTTTTTGAATCATAAAGAGCCAACCCTGCCTAATTCCCCCCTTTCTTTTCGTTTTACGAGCTGTTAATTTGACTGCTGGGCTTTTGTCTTTAAATAATTAATTACTTTTCTTAATTAGAGTACCTTGACATTAAGATGTTTTCAATTACACTTAACGAAGTTGCACAAAATGTTTGAGAGAAAATAATTAGTTAATTGCTGTCTATGGGGTACATTATTCTTAGTCCAGATTTATTCCTGTTTAAGGAGGCGCTATTAATCACATCTGCTTTACGAGTGGCTTCTTTGATAATTAATAAGGACGAAAACCTTCTACAACGGCAATTATCCTTATACAAGGTGACTAAACTAAGAAAAAATAGGTATATCTTTTGTCAGTGTCCCTAATAGCTTATAAAATAATAAATTATATTTAGAATAACATATTGAAAACAAATTGTAAAAAGAATAAGATGACTTTAAAACAAATAGACAAACTAACATATTATATTAAAGATCCTAGTGACAAATTTGGGGAAGGTGTTTTAGGCAACTTGGAATTATTTTAATTCTTGCCAAACTATTTCTAAGGTTTTGAAAAGATATTTAAGTCTTTATGCCAAAAACTCTTGGACTTAGGTATAGGACATGATGTGTAAAATCTGCCTAGAATATTGAGTAGAATCCATAAATGGAATAATGTGACGATAATCTAATTTATTTATAGTTTATTTATTTAAAACACACTATTTACAATTTATTTTAGACGTATTATTTAATTTATATAATACTTACACTAACTAACAATTTTAATTTATTTATTACAATTTATGTGTTCAGTCTAATACTCTATAAAACTAAACTGTGCGCCGATGAGCCGGGCTATTTATACCAAGTCCAACTCTGCTACGAGAAGTCTCTAGACGTTCCCGAAAATTCCATCTCTGATTCAACGGCGCGCATCGCCCGTCCTGACCGTTTCTCGTGCGTCAGCGGCATTCCTAAAATATTCTGTCGTTTCGAACATGCGTCGGGTGCCACAGACGTGAAGGTCGATGCTTTAGACAGGGTCGGCTTAGGAATTTCATGACAATAATATATAGGGTGTCGTATTTAAAATAAGCGACTTAAAGTCTATTCCCGGTAGAATTGAAAGTGTTCAATATATGCAAATATTTCAGCTAAATAGGCCCTGAGACATCTAGCAAGTTCCCAAATTTTAAAGTTTCCCACATCCAGTTCCTGAGATATGGTGGTCTACTCTGTATAAACAGATTGATTGACTCAATAGCGCAGTTGTAGCCCAATAACTGATATGTTACAATCCGGTCATGTGTGTGTTTTCTTCTGACTAAAAAATATTCAATCAAAAAAAACCTATTTATCTGC